AGGTGCTGTGGGAGCCCCAGGAGGGAGGGAGGAAGGGAAGGAGGCCTGACTCTTTTTGCTTGAAGGAAGGACTTCTTAGAAGAACAGACACTTGCGATGAAACTTGAGAGGCAGAGACAAGAGAGAAAGGGCCTTCCAGGCAGAGGGGACGCCTGAGGAAGGCAGGGTGGGTGAAAGGGTGAGGTTATCCTGGGATGGCTGCAGTGGAAATGTGGTGGGGTGGCGAGGGTGCTGATGGGTTTCCCCAGTAGATGTCTTCCTGCCATGGCGGGAGGGGCTCCCATCACAGGAGGCAGGCAACTGGGTGTGGGGAGGTTTATTTTGTCTGTGTTCCACCCACCCCCACTGCGCTATTCCTGGACTCTACCGAGACCACTCTCCCCTCTCCCACACCCCTGGGCACAGCATGGTTTCCTGTCTCCAGGAATGGCCCCATCCAGCCAGGCTGGAAATCATGGGATGATGGGGGATCTCTTCCACAGCCAGTCTGCTGATTGCACCCTCTAGGTATCTCTAGAATCCCTCCCTTTTCTACATCCCTGCGTACCTCTCCCCGTGTTGAGGTCTCAGCCTTTCTCATCTGGCTCCCTGCTATCCCCACCTCCACTCAAGGGCCCTCAGCATGTTTTCCATGATGTCACCAGAGTGGTCCTTGCACAGCCGGAGTCTGACTGGGCTCCCCCTGTCCAGGATGGAGGCAGACTCCCCAGCGCAGCCTCAGACTCAGCCCCTGTGCAACACTCTTCCCGTCCTCACACCAGAGCCACACTGGGCCAAATTGCTTTCAGTTCCCAAACACAAGATACTCTTGTACCCGCAGCTCCCCTGCCTTGGGCACTTCCCCACTCTGGTGTGACGGGGCTGACTCTGACACCGGCTCTGGCAAGCTTTCCTGCCTGGGCCTCCCCTGGGCCTCCACAGTGATCACCCTGAGTGGTCTGGGTGTGTCCGTTCTTATCTGCTCCCCCATCTGCCCGAGAGCCCATCAAGGGAGTGGGGAACCAGGTCTGACACACCCGTGACCCTCTGGCCCAGAGCAGGTATCAGGACAGGTTTGTTGACTGAATAAGTAAACAGTGCATCCCAGACAAGACTGTTTGGAGTAGAACAGGGGAGAGGGCACAGGACTGCGGGTGTGAGCAGGGCAGTGCAACTCCTCGGCTTGAATAAATCATTTACTCTTCCTGGAGCCCCATCTGTAAGACAGAGGGGGTCAAACAAGTTCAAAACAGCCTTCAAAAGGCAAGCGGACTATAGAAATGCAGGAGAGTTGACTGTCACTGTCAGTCTTCAGTGTCTTGGGCCGGGAAGTTCCTCCAGGTGTCTGGCCTACATCCCTCTTGCTACAGAGAAGCTGGTTTTGACACTGTGCTGCCTCCCACAGATGCAGTCTTCAGGGGGCCCTGTGGGGACGGCCTGAGAATTGTCTTCTGTCCTACCAAGTCCTTAATTGGCAGCAGTAGAGTAATGAGTCACAGACAACAACCAATTAATTATCCCCAGTTATAAAAAGCTTCGCTTCCCCTTCCTGGCCGTAGACTGAGCCGGCCTCCTGCTGCCAGGCTCCTTCACTCCCTCTGCACTGGGGGCAGGAGAATAGGTCGTTTCACCTCTGAGTCCTCAGTTTCCTGTTTCCTTATTTGTCAGGTGGGGAGGGGACAGGGTGCCCTTGGAGGAGGTGGGAATGTGTCAGGCTGGCAGGGCAGGACAGAAGGAGGCCAGCTTGGATGGAGAGGAGGGGGCGCCTTCCCCAGCTCTCTGCCCACCCTCCATGCTCCCCAGGATCCATTCCAGTAGTGCAGGACACAGCTTAACCTGGGAAACACAGAGGGTTCCTAGTCTGGCATTCAACCACTCCCTATCTTGTCCCAAATGCTCCTGGTCCAGTGCTCTTTCCCCTCCATCAGGCAGCTCCCCAAGTCCTCCTCTCTGCCCCTCCTTTCTTCTCACAAGCTCTCATTTAAAACACACAGACTCAAAACACACATGTCCTCCCCACCTCCAGCTTCCATGTTCCGGAGGCTCTTGCTGCAAATCTATCCCAGACTCCAGGTGTGTCTCCAGGTGTGACATGGCTCTAAGCCTGGATTTCTCAATGCATAACAAGGAAACATGCCCCACAGGGTGTTATGACAATTAGCAGGGCAACGCATGCAAACCACTTGCTCCCTGCATACAGTAAGCACTCAATAACTGTCAACTCTTACTCTTACTCTTTTACACTTCATTTCCCAGCCCGCGGACCAGAGTGAAATGCTCACCCCTTTTCACAGATGAGGCCCAGAAAGGTCTGGCTTCACAGAAGAACTTGACCCCAGGCTTCTCTGAGTTGGGAGATGCAGGAGGGCTCCCCAAGGAGGACCTGAAGGGAGGCAGTGCTTGGGTGGGGGGGG